AAAAGACAGAACATTGTGGTTGGGTGCTGATTCAAGTTTGATGTACCTATGACTATGACTATGACTACGTATAAATTTGTTTGTTTGGATCATGTATGTTGATGCTTAGCGGTGTGACCGCAAGCAGAAAAATGATATGTTTTTCCATTTGATTCTGGGGCTCATCAGCCTGTGATACTGCAGAATATCGCAACAAGGTTCAAGTGAAAGGTAGGCTATAGTGGTTTTTATTGATGAGTTGTTGGACTTTCACGTGGGTAAAATATTTCAATTTTAAAACGTATGTGACAACATCAAATTACAAACAGTTATGAATTTGATGAAACATGTATGTAATATGTGAACGTTTAGCTATATCTTATCTGAGGAAAATTGTTCATTTTCAATTTTGGAGTACAAACAAAAGATATGATGATTTGCTCAGGGTCGCCATCAGGTATCAGCTCACAAGTCATGAATATCACCTCTGAAGTCACAGTATATATGTTTGTTCAACGTAGAACAACCAGTCAGTGGCCTTCTATTGCCGCCATTGCTACAATGTCGGGATCTGAAGCAGCGTCAGATGCCACCAAAAAGACAGGTGACAGTGATTCAGAAAGCACTGCCGTCACGGTGGAAATCAAGGTGAGGTCATTGAAAAAGGCAGTGAAGCAAGCCATGAAAAAAAAAGGCCAAGAAAACACGAAAGTCAAAGAAGAAAAAGAAGAGCAAAGGATCCCATAAGGAAACGCGCAATCGTGGACCCTGCAATCAACGATCCAGAACAGTTTCTCCTGAGAGAACACGCTCCCTGTCACCTTCGAGGACCAGATCACCATCAAGGTTCGGTAGGGCTGAAACATTTTGAGATTACAGTTGTGAGTTCAATCTAATGTTCAACAAGGGATGTTGTTTTTGTCAATGATTGCAGGTTTCCAACCGTGGTGCCTGATGCGGCTGCGACCGGGCAAAGCCAGTTGCAGCGACAGGATGCCCAGTGTTTCTTGGTTCACAATATGTGTCAAAGTCTTTTCACAGTGACAGTACAAACGTACATACATATCTTTACCATTATATATATATATTTGTATATATATATATCAATCAAATTTGTTTTCAACTTGGTCATGATTGATGCCATGGCAAGGTTTTGATCGATATGCAAATGCAGAGATGGAGACACTTGGAGAAAATGATCAGGGAGTGTGATGACAGTATTTTTGTTTTGGTTTTGACATATGGACAGCGTAGCACATCTGAATGTGGAATTATTTTTTGTTTTCGATATTCGATGGTGTTGGGTTGGAAAGCTATCATATTTCCATCAGTTGTGGTGTAGCTTCCTGAAACATTTGCACCCAGTGAGTAGGTTCAATGTACAGTAAACTTCAATGTACAGTGGATTTCAATGTAACATTCTAAAAATTTGCAGATGAGTCTAAACTGTTTGTTCTGAGGAAAGCAGCAGCACCGGCGGCACCAGCACCAGCTGAATCGGCTGGATCCGGTGAGCCTCGTGAGTCCGTTGAGATTCAGATTCTAGCCGATCTTCTATCAGCAGATTCTCAAACCAAACCTGCTGGTGCCACCGTCACCACCACCACCAATGAGATCCATCCAAACATATCAGAACCGAATCTGGACCTGAAAATGTCCTGGTGTATTTTCAGCGATATGGTTTATATGAAGTTTTCTGATTGCGCAAACGTACCATAATCCAAGGACCTCTTCTTTGCCTCCTGGACCTACTGGTACTGGTGATTCAACTGGTCATGTGGCAAGTCCTGCACCGGTTGATGTGGAGACAATGTCACTTGTCTAAAATATAGACGGCTTGGGATCATGTTGAGCTCGGCTTTGACTGCATGTTTGCGAGTTTGTGCACTTGTACAACATGTTGGTGGAAATAATTCTTTGTTGTAGTGAGGCCACCGGGTGCATGTGCAAAGTCCAGACCTTCCTGCAGAAGAGTGCTCCTTGCCAACAAATCAAATTTACCTCTGGAATTTGAAAAGATTTGACTTGGAGAGAGTAATCAGTTCAACCGGAGGGTAAGCATTTTGTTTTTGAGGTCAAACCGGGAAGACTATAGGCAGAAACATGGACATGATAAGCCTCGAGGAGCCCGAAAGCCAAGACAAAAAAAGAAACTCGGGCTGAACTGGCATAACTACTCATTTTAGATATTTTAGTGCGCTTTGAGTATGGTTAATATTTGGTTGGGATTGGTTGGGTAAATTGATTTCCATATGAAAAATCAAGAAATATTCATTGAGTATTGGGTATGTTTATGATTTTTTCGTAACATTGTTTTTATGATTTTCATAATTTTATGAAAATGAAAATTATGAAAATTATGATTTTCATAATTTTCAGACAATATATATTTAAAAGGAAAATTAGTATTTTTATAAAAATTTCATAATTTTCATAATTTTCATAATTTTCATAATTTCATAATTTTCATAATTCTATTATGTATGAAACATTACATTTTATGAATACTTGGTTGTTTGCAACATAGTTTCGACCTTGCCCAGGACATAAGAGCTTGCCTGCAAAGCAGATCGTCGGCTGCGAATAGACCAAGAGTACTGCAAAAAACAGTTTTGGGCAAGCTTGGAAATCATATTCATTGGGACGTTAGTTTTTTTGTTGACTTTCGTGCATTTGATTGACTATTGCTGGCGGTAAACCGCAGCAGTTTTTGGTTTTATGGATGTTTTTGGTTATGGTAATGATAGATGCTACTTGTCTAGTCTAGCGGTTTCACCGCAGACAAGTTTAAATGTATTGGTATTCTAAAACGTACCATTTCATGTTTGATATGGATGTGCGTTTTGTGTTTTGGTTTTTCTGTTTGTTATTATATGTTGTCGTTAGTTGCATCTCAGGTTGTGTTTACAACCAAGCGCATTGTGTTTTGCATGGGTCAAATCAATGAAGATTTTGCAGTATAGTACGGTTTGCAGGAAAGCACTGCAAATTAACCTTTACAGCCTCAGCTTCTTGCCCAGCAAGTTTAGTTTCGGCCATGCCAAAGCGACCTGGTGCCAAGGAGGCCTGCAAGCCAAAGGCGAAGGCTAAGTAAGACCTCTTCGTCTGGTCGATCTACATCAGCCAAGGCCCAGTCGATGAGTGAGGAGGAACTGCTCGAGTATCGCAATTTGCATTCGAAACTTACCTACAGATCCAAGTGCGGAATGGATGGGGCCGAACAGGCCCTTCAGCAGTTGAAGACCAATAGGCAGATGGTGCTGGAGAAATTTCGCGGTGATCGCACTATGTCATGGGTTCCAAGTAGCTTGATATTTTTAAATCCATACGCTGAGTCACAAGTAGCTTGATTTTCTTAAATCCATACGCTGAGTGATTATTCATATGTTTTTCTTGTCGAGTTTTTGCTGGATTAGGCATGGTGCATGCGCAAGAGTCGGCCCACGTCAATGAGTTCAACAAGACTGCTGAGTGGCTCAACCAGTTCCAGATCATGACCAAGATTGGGGTGACTCCGGAGCAGGTCAAAGTTGATCCAGTCGCTCAAGCCCTTTTGAAAGCCACGTTGGAAAGCTTGCCTGTGAGGGATCATGAGATCCAAGCCCTTGCTCAGCAGAATATGAAGCAGTATGAGTGGTCACACGAGACGTCAAAGGAGTCCGTTTTGTCCAAGGAGAGCTTGGGAGTCATAGCCACAGGTTGTGCTGCAAGTGCTCCCAAGGCAAAGGCAGTTGCAATGACTGGTGCTCCAACTGGAACTGCACCAGTGACCATCAACTATGGGGTTGCTTGCAAAGGCTTCCGAACCCAGATGACGAAGTGCATCAAGGAGTTGGAGAAGTGGTCTTCAAAGCTGAGGATCCTTGATGTATTGTTTTTTAGCCGGTGCAGAAATTAGTGGTTGCAATTGCATCAAATTTGAAAACAATGAATGAGCGCGCAAGGATTTTCAATCAATCAGGTAAGCCTGATTTGTTCAATGACTTTTGAATATTTTTTCGATATTGAACGGTTGTGACTCAGCAATTGCTACCATGGTTTCATTTCATGTGGTTCAACCTCCTTCCAAGGAAGTTGCGCCCTCAGATTCCCAACAAGGACGCAGAGAACCAACAGCTTGTGGAGGACTCCAAGAAGTGCGAGCACAACATTGCCGAAAGCTTGGATGCTTTGACCTCCGCATTGTCAGACCATCCTACTGGTGGAGATGAAGATACTTACAACACCCTCAAGCTGGTTTTGGATGGTGGCCTTTCCATCAAATCCAGTGCAGAGAAGATCGAAGCAGCAGCAACGCATGCTGTGGACAAGCAGTTTGATGAAGACTTGGCGGAGGCTGTTGAAAAGGCCCAGGAGAAAGATGAAAAGGACAAGCTGAACCAATCTGGTCCTTCGGATGCAAACAAAGGTCCTGGTGATGAAGGAAACAAGCCCGTTGAGAATGGCAAAGGCACTGCTGACGCTGCTTAGTTTTTCCTTTACAGCTGATGGAGAACATTTTGTGCGCATCTGACGCTTCGAAGATTTTGGCCGTGTACCCGTACTGGTTCTTTGATGCCTATGCCAGATGAACGTCAGCAAATTTACAGATTACTTGCAGTTTGCCCATATGAAGTGGACTATGCTCAGTGGCTGCACCGATGCCACTTTGATGCGATGCTAGTGAAAAAATCCAGCAGTCTAAGATTCAAACTGATTCAGATTGCATCATTTTTTTGAGTAGGTGGTCTCGGGATTCTTTCCCTCGAGGCAATGTGCATAGGCGAGGTTGATAGGGCTGTATATGTCTTTAAACATTTTCACTGAAATTTCGAGCTTAGGGATTTCGAGCTTATGATCTCTCATTTCGAGCTTGTGAGCTTTATTTCGAGCAGCTCCGATCAGTTTTGGGTTCAATTCAAAAATCCCAGAAATCCAAAAAAATATCATTTCGTTCAGATGAAATAATGCCAACATTGTTTACAAACTATTTTTTCCTTTAGGACGCTGGACGCTCTTGTCCTTTCCGGTTGTTTGACGCGATGGACTTTGATGATGAATGTGCAGATGAAGAGCTACAGGTGGCGGGAAATGACCATGATGATCCACCGCAACAGGAAGATGCATCCAGGAGGAAGAGACGACGATTCACTTCGAACTCCGGAAGCGGCCGAGATGCTGTGAAGACTTGTTTTGTGGCATCATGCAGCGAAACGTGCGCCAAGGGAAAGAAGTGGTGTGCAACCCACAACAGCTTCTATGATTCGATGAGTTACCATGCCAAAAAGAACAAAGAGACCGAGATATTCAACCAAGTCATGAGTGATGCACTTGAAGCTGACCGAGCATTCAAGCGATTCATGGACGACAATCCTGATCAAGGAAGGTGGTCCCGGAAGAAGTTCATCGAGTGGAGCCAGTTCAAAAAGGAGCACTCTTTGTCATTAGTTCACACTGACCGCCGTGGCGCCAAGCCGTTTGAGAAGTGCCAATGGATTCAGCGGGGATTGAACAAAATGGGATGGAGCAAGCAACAATGTATAAACGAGTGGGAGAAGCAATTAAAGGATGCTTCTGTGAAAAGGGATACCTTGGGTATTGACGGATCACTCCGCCTTTGGATCGGGGTTGTAGAGATGAAGGCTGTTGATACCCAAAGGACCGGACCGACCCGTTATGGTGTGTTCGATACCAAAACATCATACATCATACTATCATACTGAAAGTATTCATTTATAAAAATGCGTTCAGATTGTTTTCTTGGCGATTGTAGATATATTATATAGTTTTGTTTTCAACAGCTATACACACTACCGCCTGCTGCGCGTAGGAAAAAATCATCTAGCCGCGTTGAAACGTCCGCGGCAGAGAAGCACTTGGGAGATGATGACCGGGAGTTGATGCTGGACCAGGTCATGAAGGGTGGCACGCCGAACGATGTTGATGATCGGTTTTTCACTGAGGCAGTAGGTCGAGAAGAAGCAGAAGGCAACAGCAATACACCAGAAAAATCCCATGTGAAGCGTGAGCCAGATGCTTCACCTGAAAAAACCGAGACGCCAGAAGAAAAAAAAAGAAAGCAAAGATTGCAAAGCTATCCAGTGGGGCCTCTTTGTGCAGTTTCCGAGCCGGTTTGCTTGACAAGTTTGTGGAAGGTGTGAAAATTCGAACAGAGAAGATGCAACTTGCAGCTGGCAAGATCAAGGAAGCACAGGAAAAGCTATCGAAATCTCTTGGATCTCAACAGGATGCATGTGGCCAAGTGGTGGCTTCTTACAACACAATGCTTCAGGCATGTGAGAATATTTGTAAGGCCTGGCTGGATTCGCTGCCTTCAGAAGCTTTGAAGCTAGCCCCAAAGGTTGAAAAGAAGGAAATTGAAGAGGGAGATGACTACGTCAAGCCAGAGGTGCCAGATGCAGTTGAGCAAAAGCATCAGCATTTTCTTCAGTTGGTAAAGAATGCAGAGCCACAGATTCGGCTTTGCAACGGTGACTTGGAGCTGATTTCCCTTGTGATGTTGGAGTTCTACCAGCACTTGCTGTCATCTGCCTCATCACCTGCATGGCTGGTGGCGTTTGAATCAGAATGCAAGTCTCTGTGGTCAGTGCAGGATGTATTTCAAAAGTCTTTGGTCAGAATCTCAACCGATGTCCTTAGCTACATTAGCCAGAAAGAACGCACCGCTGCCAGAAACCAGGAGAGGAAGCGCAAGGAGGATGAGAGCCGAGCTGCAAAGACGCAAAGAGCACAAGCCAAGGCACATGCAGCAATGGTCAAGCAAGCAAAAGCACATGGACATGCAGTTTTTGGAGTTGATGATAAATTGTTTCAATCCTTTGCAGACCGATCGGTGATGAACAACGTGGATGAGCATCTCACAGAGCCATGGGTGTGGAAAGGTTGCGAGAGCTGCAAGTCGTGGCGCAATCATCCCAATGTCTCTTTGCGGTTGTCTGAATTTGGTGGGAGCTACAAGCAGGCTGCTTCTTTTAAAGCAGATGGGCGCAGCCAGGCTCCAATTCTTCGAAACCAAGGAAAGCAGGAATCAGATATTCTGTGGTCGTCGGTGTTTCCATCCAAAAGCATTTTGGACATCACCAAGATTCCAGAAGGAACTTCTTTCATGCAGAATTGCTGGTGGTTTGGGTATGATCCCAAGAATTCTTGGGCCCACTTTGCTCCAAATGGAGCTGGGATGATTCGGTGCATTGCGTCTGGCCAGATGCGTATCATTTGCTTCCCGGTGGCAGATGTTCAGGAAACTATGCGTGCTAAGGGCATGACGGTGAACTTGGACGAGCTGACCCAGTTTGTGTTGTCCCTCACCAAGGAGGATCCATTGGTTGGCAAGGGATATGCTGTGAACGTTTCCCAGGATGATGTCGTTTACATACCGCCAGGGATGATACTATGTGAAAAGAGTTCTTCTTCGGCTCTTCTTTATGGTGGCCGCAAATCCTATATCTTGAAAAATGAAGACTGCATGCAATCCTACCAAGGTTGCATTGACATGCTGAAAGCGTCCAGCCGTGATCCTAGCAAAATGGAATCAGTAGTTGAGCTGTACAAAACTGTGACGTCCATGCCTCCTCCCCCAGTTCCTCAAAAGGCACAAGCGGAAAAAGTGTTGGAGCCGGGAGACTTGAATTCAAAGAAGGTGACCGAGGATGAGGATGGGAGCTCAAAGGAGATTCACGTTGAAGTTGGGACTGGGACCAATGCCAGAGCAGGACAAGAAGATGGCAAACCCTAGAGGCAGTTTTTAGGTTCCAGGGAAAGCCTTGGACCATTTGTGTAGGACGGTGGTATTCTTTGGAGACTGTGATAAATATATCATTAGTCGAGTGGATTCTTTTTTACCACCGGTTTTGAGCGAGATTGCGAGCCCATCGTGCTTCGCCTGGACTTCGCCTGGCCTGGCACTAGCACCTGAGGCCTGAGACGAATCTGAGAATCTTGCCTGGGAAAAAGGAAAAAGCATTGAAAAAGCAGGCAACAAGCAACAGTAGTGTCAGCTTTGTAAGGCTTTGTGTTTGTGTTAAGTACTACCTACTACCAACGCCGCGGCCTTGCCGCGCGCTGCTATCAGCTGTTGTTGTTTGAATTTGCTGAACGATGTCGCATGTCTTTTGTCAAATGCACTGGGACACATGAATTCGCTTGCACTCATGGCCACGGTTTGGTTCAAAGTTTAGTGTGATTACCTGTTTTTCTCATGCAAGCAATGTAATCAGTGGATAAAATGTGAATTTGAACAGAGCACAGGTAGGTCAGATAGGTCGCTGTGAGTTGGCGCATTTTGTGTTATTATTTTGTTTCCTTTTTGCGCCTCGGATGCGCTCGCAGTCATGCCTGCACCATGGCCCCGAAAATCGCGGATCACGCGGATCGCGGATCTTGATCTCCCTGCTGGTTTGGAACACTCAACATCATGCCAGCCTGAGCCTGTGAACCAACAAGGTCACAAGAACCTTGGGCCCAAGACCCCAGAGGAATTTGCAATGTGGCCAAGAACAATAGTCAAGAGAGTCTTTGAGCGAGGTGACGGCAATGATGCACTTCGGTTGGCTCGATTCAAGTCTTTAGTGGCTGGTGGCCTTCATGTTTATTCAGATTATTCTGGTATGGCTGGCGAGTTTGAAGCTCTTTTCCAGCTGGGTGAAGCTTTGGCCTCCAGAGTTGAATTCGAAGTCAGCCATCGACGTTTCTGTGATATCAGCAAACTGGCGCAAGGAATTTTGAAAGAAATTTCCTCAATGGAATTCAATGAGCCTTGCGTGATGAGTGACATAAATAGCCGCTTGCCAGAGCATGCCTTGAGGTGGTTGAATGCTGCAGAGCCAGCTGGAGAAGACAGCGCTGAAGCTGCTGCAAGCAGCTATGGCTCCATGGACATGTATTTGAAGCAGAACAGAAAGTCAATCTTTGCAGATGCAACGCATGATTGGTGCATTGTGCATAATCGCCGTTGCGAACTTTTTCCTCAAGTTTGCGGTCTCTATGATGATGAATGTGATGATGGTTTCAAGCAGCCTCTGGTCATCAACTTCGCCGGAACAACATGTAAAGGTTGGTCTGCGGTGGGAAAAGGTCGATGCTTCAGCGATCCATCAGAAAGGCCACACAGCATTTGGACCAATGAAAGGGGATTCCGCGCATCAGAGACGGTGCAGTCGCAAGAAACCATGTTTTTTTCGGAATGCACACCAAGATATCCGGTGAAGGTGCGGTGCAGTTTCAAAGTTCAAAGTTCAGACTTCAGACTTCAGACGTTGTGACTTGACAGTTGAGTTGAGTTGAGAGAGTTGAGACTCGAGACATTGATTTTGTTCAAGTTTCAAGTGATTAAAGTGTTTGATTTGATTTGTTGTAGAGTAGATTCAGTAGATTCAGGATTCATGATTCATATTTGGTTTGTAGTTTGTAATATATCTATACAGTATACAGTGTACACTGTACAGATACATATCTATATTATATTTATTAGTAAATTAATTATATATGTGTATGAGTAGTATAAGGCTATAAGGTTAGTAGTAGTAGTTAGTAGTCATCAGTCATCGCATTGGGTTCGTTATCGTAACAGTGGGTCGAAATTCCTCCCCGGCCAGGAGAAATTGACCAGTCCATTGGAGGACACGCATCAAGTCCTTTCACTGATACTCTCGCCATCCATGCTGGGCTGGCCCGTTCGCCGAACGCGAATGTTTTCGGCAGGGTTGAACCGGAACAAAATCGCATGGCTTGGACCAGAATCATCTGAAGATTTACTGGAAGACTTTATGTCTTTTTTTGCCGCTTCAGTAGAAGTTGATGGAGGCGTTTTCTTGATATCTTCAGAGGAAGATGTGTTAGCAGAAGAGAAGAGAATGGCCCGGTGCCGTGGGCATAATTTTTTTTCTGAGGTGACCAAATTGGAGAAGCACCAGTATCTTGCCCCTGGACAGCTTGTGCGCCTTGAAGAATACAAAAGAATGTATTCAAATCTCCAGGGTGAATGCGCTACAAAAAGTTTTTTCGCTGATTTGGACCAAAATGTGAAAGGCGCTGGCGGCGCCAGCACAGCTGGCAGCATGATACCAAGTCTTTTGACGCATACAGCTTTGTATGCCTGTCATTCCGATGCTGACAGACTGGTGACGCCAGAAGAACTATATTTTGCTCATGGCTACAATTGCATCAAGTTGCCGAAGGACTCAGCTGCGAGATCTTGTCGAATCAAAGGATGCTTGAAAAAGCTTACCGCACCGCAGCAAATCCAACTCCTAGGGAATGGATGGCATTTGGCAGTGCTCTCAAGTTGGGTGACATACATTTTGTCACACTGCGTGTTCCTCAACCGGACTATGTCTTTCCAGCCGGAGAAGAGTTTGCTTCGAAGGGGTGGTTCGCAGCTGTGCGAGCTTGAAACGCCGGAGAAGAAACGCAAGACAGAGAATGATGATGATGCTGCAAGTAAGGTGACTGTGACGTTGCCGTTGCCGGACTAACTGGCCGGCCTTGCGCATTTCTGCAGCATTCGTGACATCAGCTGGACAGGAAAAAGCTTGCCTATTAGTGCTGCTGCAGTTGGCAGAAAGTAAGTTTCAGTCTAAATTTTCCATTTTGTCAAAGCCGGTAGAGCAGTTGTGCGGTCTGACCGCCGACTGAAACTTAGGTACCGAGGTATTGTTACACTGTTTCTGTGGTGAAGAAGTTCGTTGAGGAGGGTAACCATTATGCAGTTGTGCGGTCTGACCGCCGACTAAAGCAAAGTACGAACGGAGCTACACGTAGCCGCCGTAGCCGTAGCCGCTTGCAGAGTCACGGAGTTTGGATTTTCAGCATGTATTCAAACGCATTGCTGCTATTTTTCAATCAAAAACACAGTCGAGAGTCGAGAGTACAGGTTGTTACACAAAAAGCTTTTGAATGCAACAATTGCAACAAACAAACATATACGACATCGCAACTGTTGAAGCTGGTGGCACGGACTCTCGAGCCGAGCCCAATGATGCCTGCAATAGCATGTGGATTTCTTCTGGTGATTGCAGTGGTGGCGCACATGGTGCCATCAAGAGAACCAGAACCGGAAGATATAGATGAGGAAAACCAGATGGAGCCATCAGCAGAGCCCCAGAGTTCCAGGTATGAATCCAACGCGAGATCTCTAGGATTGAAGTTTCCTGGAGTATTTGCAGATGCTATGTTTCGAGCTGAGGGTATGTTGCTTTGGTTGTATTTCAGATGCCAAGCGAGAGTGCAGCGCGGCAAAGATGTCATGGTGAATGCTCAGCGAATGAATGAGCTTGCTGACCTGATCCATATGTTCATGGATCGACCCAACAGTGTTCAACGCGGCCACATGAATGAAAGCCTGATCGCATTGAGCGACCTTACAGATGACGAAGAATCCCCACGCTTTCAATTCAGTGAACAGCAGGTGAAAGATGACATTGGTGAAGCATTCCAAGGATATCAAGTTGGAATGGGATTGTTTGGACATCTACGACACGACTTACGACGTCCTACACTTCGTACAGCTGATGATGATGAAGTTGAAGATACAGCGGAAAATGAAGAACAACGATACCATAGGTATTGCCGATCAACCTTGTCAGAAGTGTCAGATCCAGACACTTGGATGGAAGTTCATCACGAAGCAGAGGATGAGCGACACTACATGCTGAGTGAGCGCCATGAAGTGTCAGATGGAGACGGAGAACTATGGGATGAACAACAAAGTGAAATGATGCGAGAGAATGATGAAATTGCCAGAGGTGAATTTGCAGATGAGAACGAATTTTGAAAAATGAGCTGTCGCAACAGGTTAACATGATCCTGCTGGACAGAAGCTACAATAGTGAGCTGCAATGCTTGCCAAGCTGAGAGGGATAGAGCATATGGTTTATTGACACCACGTCAAAAGACCGTTTTAATGTTCAATGGTGACAAGCTGTTGCTTTACCAGTTAGTTTCCACGGTCTATTTGCACTTGGGACTTTGATGAAGTCCTGGTGGAACCAGTTTGTGTTTTCTGTGTTTGTTTCATGACGTAGGTAGAAACATTTACAGTTTGACGCAAGGAGTAAATGACTCTTGGATCAAAGGCGGGGTACGGAAATGTTTCCATGCCACTTTAAACCAGTTTAGACAGTTGCGCGTAGGAGTTAAAAACTACTCCAAACACTAAAAGCAGTGCAACCAAATCTCACATTTACGAAAATTACGAAAAATTACGAAAATTACGAAAAATTACGAAAATTACGAAAAATTACGAAAATTACGAAAAATACGAAATTACGAAGAACAATGAGCATTATCTTATCAAACAAGTAAAAATAAAATTTGCAAAAAGATCAAGAATAATACTTATTGTTTTACGTGTTACGAAAATTTCGAAAATTACGAAAATTACGTAAAATACAAAAAATACGAGAGTTAAGAAAATTAGGAAACTTATTAAATATACTTTATCAAAATTTCGAATATTTCGAAATAACAAATGTATTTTCAAAAATGTAGTGAAAAACACGTATGAAAAAAAACATACTTTAAAAACATAGAAAAGAGCAAAAAGTACAGCAAAGACATTACTTTCAATTGTTAACCATAGAAAAGTATGAGAAATTATGCACAACATATGGTGTAAAGGAAGAAGCAAAAGTTCAAGAAGTAAACATAAGCAATGAACCGTGTGGATTTTTGATAGATTATGTTCGTGTATATTTTGGGTATAGAGGGGAACAACCTAAGATCCTTGTAGGAAAGTTAGCAGGTTAGGTGGCTACAGAGCTGCCAATGGATCCTCAGTCAACATGTCAGGCACTGCTGAGATTGGAGTACAGATGCACATGTCAGGCACATCAGGTGATGATTGGTGTTGGAAGAAAGCACGTTTGAATGTTTTGGTGGGTTCCATCCGGCACAACATTTTGTCAATCACTTCATTGGCAGATTCGGGATGGAGATTCACACAAGGTCCAAAAGGTTTTGATTTGTTCCATGAAAAGCTTGGAATGCATTGTCTTGATGTTGCATATTTTGCCAATTGTCCTTGGGTTCGTTTGTATCCAGATGTTGGTAGTAGTAGTGCATACAGGTCTGACTTGACTGTGAGTAACACTCATAACTTTTCTGTCGCAGCTGTGTCTGGAGGAGACGACAATGAACTGGCACGTCACCGAAGACAGGGACATATTCCATTCAATCCGAATTGCTTGGAGTGTGCCAAAGGTCGTTCTGTCTTTCAGCACAGAAGAGACAAAGGTGACAGGAAAGAGGTTTCTATTCAGACCGATTTTGCATTCCTCAACACAACAGGTGAGATCGTTGCAGACGAACTCCCAGGTTCTGTGAAGATCCTTGTGTTAACTGAGATGATGTCGAGGTGCATTGGCTATGTGGTGGTTGGAGAAGATGTCGAAGCAGCCAGGAGACAGATTGTTGTATGGCTTCAACATTTTGGGTTGACTTCGAAGGCAGTCTCCATTGATGTCCACACCGATAGCGAGAGGGCCGTGGGAGAGATCATTGGAAGTTCCACTGGTCCATACACGTTCGCTATTCAGAGAGCCGCGCCACAACAACATCGATCAATTGGGTCGGTTTAGCGAGCAGTGAGGGAATTAAAGGAATCCTTTTCTGTACTAAGAGCTGATCTGAATGCACAAGGGTTGGATGTCACGTTTTCACATGAGAACTTGGTTGATGTTCTGACGTATTTGGCTTTGTGCAACAACCATTTTTCAACATCGAGAGGTTCAGACAGAAGTCCATTGGAAATGGTTTCCGGTAGGAAGTTATCCAAACCAGTTTCGACTTTGTTTGGTGCTCAGGTTCTTGCCGAAATTCCTGATTCAATTCGTCAGCATTCACCACTTTCAACAAGGAATGTTGAGTGTACGTTCATTCACATGGGATTGGAACGAGGTCCAGTTGTGCAGGGTCTCATTCGTGTGGATAGCAAAGCTGAGTTGATGCGTTTTGTAGCTAGGAACATCAGGGCTATTTCACCTTTGAGATGGGATTTGAATTCGGGACAGGGTGTTTTGACACAGTTTGACACTGGGACTGTAAGTAGTAGACCCCAAATTGTGAATGACAGTGGGACTGCACCAGCTGATATGAGTCAGCTACCTCCTGAAGAGTTGCGAAAGTTGAAAGGCCAGAGTTTGCCGGCACCTTCGCAGCCCAAACTTGTCTTGCCAGAGCCCAGCAGTGTGAAGAAGAAATCTGGTGAGTTGCGTTTGGCGCCAGCAGTGCCATTGGCAAGATCGAACGTTGCCGTGACTCCACA